TGCAAGATGGCACATGCCATTTGAGGAAAGCGGTTCCAATTCCAACTTGTATTATTCCTTCGATGTTACCGGGGTCCATGTTATCATGCTGGGCTCTTACACAGATTTTGATCCTGATTCGGATCAATTCAAGTGGCTACAAGCTGATTTGAGTAAGATTGACAGGCGAAAAACTCCATGGGTTGTGGCGATTATCCATGCGCCCTGGTACAATAGCAATAGTGCTCATCAAGGGGAGCCTGAATCAGATCTCATGAAGGAAAGCATGGAAGGATTACTTTACAATGCTGGGGTCGATATTGTTTTTGCTGGGCATGTACATGCTTATGAGCGCTTTGTAAGCCTCCTTTTCCTTTATCATCTATCATCATCTTCATTTTTTGTAGTTTTCATTAGTTGGGTGAGTACTTATTCTCTTGTTTCTTTGCCCATTTCAATGTCAAGACTCGTGTTTACAATGGAAAAGCTGATGATTGCGGTCCGGTGCATATCACAATTGGGGACGGTGGCAACCGCGAAGGTCTAGCTAGCAAGTGAGTCGCTTTCCAAAGATAAAACAGATTTTTTCTCCTAGCGCCTCCTATAAAATGTGAATGCTTGTCATTCTCAAATCCAGCTAATCGAATCTAAAATGGTCAAGGCATTGTTAAAATTTAAAATTGGTTGTTACATCTCAAATACAAATTTATGACTTTTTAATGTATGATCTGAAGCGTCATCATCAAACGAATTACACACATGAATTTTAAAATTTTATCATATATATAGACATAAGAACTCAAATCTTTTACAATAGTATTTTATTCACCTCTGACAGAATTAGACAGAAATCATCGCAATCAGAGTAAATTTGTTGCTATTGCAATCTAAAAGTTTCCATCAATCTTGTTCAGGTTTATGGATCCGACGCCTGAAATATCCATGTTCAGGGAAGCCAGCTTCGGGCACGGACAACTTGAGGTGTTGAACGCAACCCATGCAGTCTGGAAATGGCATAGGAACGACAATGATGTTTCAGTTGTTGCTGACACATTTTGGCTTAGAAGCCTCTCATCTGATCCTGCTTGTAAAGTGTAAAATATTTTAAGGATTTATTTATCCATCAATACTGAGGCTTAATTAAGGCAGATCCCGAAAAGAAAGAAAATGTGGAATTGTACGGCAATATTGTAATCAAAACACAATAATGCAGATGGAAACATGAATAGGAAATTGTTTCTATATAGTGTATTTGTTGAAAAAATTATTCTATACATTGGTTGTATTTAAAACGGGTTTATATGCTTAAATGCTTATTTAGTTATAAATAATGAAAACAACTCATTGTAATTATTTTATTAATAGGTAATTTGTCAATTATATCATACAAGTACTTTTGTAAAGTTTAAAAAATTCTAAAAATTGATAAACCTTATTATTTACTAGATAGATCTCAATTCCTAAGTTAAAAATGACCTAATATTTAAATAAAATTTCTAACTTATTTAGAAAAATTTAAATAAGTCTTTATATTTTTATTACGTTCAATCAAGCTTTTATATTTTTATTTTGAGTCAAATAAGTTTTTATATTTTATTTTAAGTCAAATAAACCCTTATGATTAATGATTGATTTAATCAAAATATCATTTGTCATTTTATACTATGTGATGTTGATGTGACATATTAACACATCATAATTGATGATAATGTGATATATTAATTTAGTATAATGACGTGATCACGTGACTTTTCTACTCCTCATGTCAATGTCATTTCAATGCTATGTTAATATAAATGACAAGTGACATTTTGACCAATGACAATTAATCAATCATTAGTCCTAAGGGTTTATTTGATCCAAAATAACAGTATAAGGACTTGATTGAATGCAATAAAAGAATAAAAACTTATTTGAATTTTTTTGAATAGTTTAGAGGTTTTTAAGGCACAATATCTAAAAAACTCTTAAAGTATTTACGAAAATTCAAAAAAAAAATTTTGTATTTAATCAATTTTTTATATTTTTATTTTGGATCATATAAGCTCATGCCATTAACTAGGGGTGGACCTACCTTCATAGTAGTGGTGTCACATGGCACCACTCATTTACACATTTACAAAAAAATTTACTTGTAAGGAATCCATTAATTTTTTTATAATTTTGTAAGGAGTGGGGTCAAAGACTCCAAGTCAAAGTAATTTATCAAAAGTAATTTACTGTATATTAACATTTAAATACTACATGAAAAGACAAAAAAAAACTTCCTTCTATATTTTAATATTTCATTAAAAAAGTCAAAACTTAAACTACTCTACTTCTCCAAAAATTCAAGTCCTACCTTTGAGACTTGTAATGACGCTTCCTCTTTTCGATTATTGGTTATGTTTTTCACTCTCTCAAAATAGCTCATTTAGGTTTTAATTGTAAGTAATTTTCAACACAAATTAAGTTTTTAAATACTTCATGTTTAAATTTTTTTGATTAATTTGATAGTTTGGATTCATAATTATAATTTAGCTAATAGAAAATAGTATTGCATATTAAATTATATCTTGAAATTATGAGTTTTTTTTTATTTTGTAGATATATTGTTTGATTTGATATTTGTATTTAATTTTATATAGTTTGTGGATACGTATATGTAGTTTTAATTAATAAATAGAAAATTGTCATATTATTAGTTGATGAACTTGATAATTTGCTATGTAAGATCATATTTAATTTAATTCTAATATTTGAGTTTATGCTAATGAGTAATAATTTTTAACAAGTTTTAATAATTTTAGACAAATAAGCTAGGGAGGATCTTTTAAAAAAATGAAAATTGTCTCATAAAACTCAAATCTTGAACAACAACAACAAAATTCTTCTAATGATGGTACTTAATAATCTTATTGAGAAAAATAATTTTTAAATATCATCTTAATAATTAGGATGAAATTAGTGATTAATGGATGAACGGTTTCCTAGTGACATATATTGAAAAAGATGTATTTGATAGTGTTTCTATTGACACTATGATGCAATGTTCTCAAAATATGAAAAATTACTGTAGACTAAAGTTGTTTTAGATATTTTTACTTTAAAGTATCAAATAAACGTATTAAATTTACATTTTCTTTAATTTAATATTAAAACTTTTAATATATGAATTTAAAATTTTTATATTTTCAATTATTATTATTATTATGATACCATTTAGAAAATTCTCTAGATCCGCTCTTGTGATTAATAGTTGCCAATTTATGTCATAAGGTGCTAATGTAACATGTAGATGTTGACATGTTATGGTTATGCTTATATGATATGATAACATAATTACGTGACATTTTCACCTTTAACATCTAGACCATGTGAGTGTAAAATTGAAAAGTGATGTTTTGACTAATGACAATTGATGTTTTGACTAATGACAATTGATGTTAGTTATAATAACTTATTTGATCTAAAATAAAAATATAAGGATTTGATTGAACGAAATAAAAAAATAATGATTTATTTGAATTTTTGCAAATAATTTAAAGACTTTTTAAAATATTTTGTCAAATATCAATTCCATTGCTACTAGCAAAACATATATTTAAGGGTAAAATACCTAACCCTCATAAGTTTTAGTAATAATTTCTTATGGGTCTATTAGTATTCAAAATGTACAATTCGTTTCAAACGTGTAAACAGCTTTAATGAGCAAACATGAAATATCTAACATACCCTTATTTTTTTCCATTTTTTTCTTTTTTTTTTCAGGTAGACTAGTAGTACTCAGTTATGCCAATCGACCACCCGACAACCAAATTTGACACTCTCTAGTTAGATCCAACCCGAGAGCACCCAATCGTGCTAAGCAATCCCAGATTTAGCACTCACGGGCCAAATCTGGCCACAGGATTGCCAGACTTGGTGCTCCTTCACACTGGATGACGCTCCTTAGTGTTGCCAGATTTGGCCACGAAAGTATTAAATTCGACATTCTCACAATTGAATTTAGTTGCGAAACGTTTGATTCGACAATCTAGTGGCCAGATCCAATCAAAAAACGCTCAATTGACACTTGCCATGCCGTCCACCATCGCTATCCGTGATGGATAAAATTTAGTTAGAGAAGGAAAGAGAATGCTTGGGTATAAAGAGAAAGAAATTGTAAAAATGAAGAAATCATATTTTATATATTAATAATTTTTAAATTTAATGAAAGGTAAAATTATCTTAAAAATATTATCATGTCGCCAAAGTAATGGAAACAATGATAGTTGACTAACTGCAGGACTTATGTGTTTAGTGCAAAACATTCTTTTGGCGTAGACTATCCATTTCGAATACTAATAGACTCACGTAAAATTATGACCAAAACTTAAGAGATCAAGGTATTTTACCTTATATTTAATGATTCAAAATTAATTAAATTTAGAGCTCAATTAAAGCGTTAAGGCCATCAATTCATTATGAATAGTCGTAATCAAATGTTAAAAGATAAGTAAATAAGGTCATATGTAGTTGTGTTTCTTTATAAGATAACAAAAAGCGTTAGCTTTTCATTTCTAAAATCAAAATGTTAAATTACTCATAAAAAATTTATATTTTAAAATTTTATTATTTTTGTATCGTTTATAAGCATGGGTGGACTTAAAAAATTTTTTGAGTAGTGTCATAGCTAAAGCGAAGTTTTCCTGGATGAGTTGTTTTTAGAGAATGAAAAACGCAATCAAGGATTGAAAAGAGGAAGCATCATTGTAGGTCTCAAGAGTAGGACTTGAATTTTGAAAAATGAGGGTAATTTAGATTTTAATTTTTTAATAAAATTTTAAATTATAGAAGAAATTTTTGTATCTTTCCATTTAGTGTTTAAATATTTACTTTTTGATTTAGGGTTTTTGACCCCGCTTTTTATAAAATTGTAAAAAAATTAATGGATTCATTAATATTATTAACTAAAAAAAACTCTAATATAAGTAATATGACCACATAAAAATTTTGGCATTTTAGTTAATGAGTGGTGTCATATGACACCACTTCTCTTCATGGAGGTCTGCCCAGGTTTATAAGTGTGGACAAAATAATATTTTTCCTTTTAAAACTACCTTGGACATTAGAAATACTAGTCCTTGGGACATCCACTGCTGACGAAATAAACACTTTTATTGTTTTAGATAAAGGAGAGAAAAGTAGGAATAACTCTACATATAGTTTAGAAATGGAGAAAAAATAAATGTGTAAGTTAAAAAGAGAGGATTTGAATTATATTTTTGAATAAAATCCACTAATATTTTTTACTTTTGAATATAATTACACATAAATTTATTAATTTTTAAAATAAGTACTACTCCTTAAATGAATATTTTTGTTGAATAGATAAATCTTGTCATTAATCAATTGTCAATATTTTTATTAATTTGATAATGTAATAATATTTTTAAAATAATTTAATTTTTTATTAATTTTAAAAATTATTACTATATAAATTATAATTTTTTTTATAAAATTTTTTTTTTCCACCAACTGCTCGTGGCACTCGCCAAGGGGCACCGATCTCACTACCTTCTTGTACTATTTTTTACTTGAAAGGGACGGGCGAATTTATATTGACCCAAGCCCAACCTGAGCCGAAAATGGGTCTGACATGGGCTCGCGGCGTTGAGTTTCAGGCCCACTAATCCGTATTTTCTTAAGCCTTTGTAAAATTACACGAAAAGTTTAAAGAAGAGGACTTTCCATTTTGGGAAGTAGAGGAAGAAAATGCAGGCCGTCCGATCTGGAATTCGAGGTCTCCGATCATCTCGAAGATTCTTGAATGTAACATCCGCTTCACCGTCGACTCAGCGACGGCGAAAGGAGCAATAATAAGCGGAGCTAGGGTATTTTCCCAATCAGCAATAGGGTATTCCCCAAATTCCTTGGAGAAACAGTCACGTCTCGAGTCCTTGATCTTCTCCGATCCATTTCTTTGATTGATGCCTCTAAGGTACTCTTCATTTTAACCTTTTTCGTTATTTCACGGTTAGCCAATAAATAGTATTTTTTTTCTTTATTATTGGCATAGAAATTGAGGCATTTTATAATGTTGCTTATCTTTATTGTTCTGAAGTTAATTATAGCAACTAGAGAGATGGAAAAAAACTCTGCTTTTTTATTTGTTGATTTAGCAAAAACATTTGAAGGTGTTAATTTGAATTTGTACTAAGTAATTATTTAAGATATTTGGTTTTATTCTTGGTATCTTTGATATCAATGTGAACATTTGAACACTAAAATGGAAGAAATTTGGTTGTTGTGCTAGTTGTCAGATGAATTCTTTAGTGAACCAATGCTATTGGGAAATCTAGGTTCATTTCTTTTTAGCTACCCTCGGTTTGAATTTGATGCATTTCTTTGTAAATTTAGTGGCAAATTTGAGGAATAAGCCTTTGGTGTTATGTTGGTGTTTTTGCCTTTCAGGCCTTGTTGGGTGTCATGCAACCTAATTGTATTTTTAGGAAAATTCAATTCTTTTGCTCCAGGCTGCATGACAACCCTTGTAATAGCGAGTTTGAAAAATGACTATGTATGCTAAGTTTCTAATATATGATTCGAGCTCTGAGCTAGCCTCTATCATCTAAAAGTAGTGAAATGGCCTCATAGTTTTAGCTATATTCTTAGTTATAACTAGAGCATGATTGCTTTTCGTTAAGTTGCCATATGTACAATGTTAGTGTTTTTTTTTTTGGGGTAAAATATACTAACCCCTTAAGTTTTAGCCATAATTCCACTTAGATCCTTTAGTATTCGAAATGGACCATCCATCCTAAAAATATCTTTCGCTGGATATGTAAATCCAGCCATTAGTCAACAGTTAATATTTCCATTAATTTGATGACATGTAATATTTCTTAGACAATTCTACCTTGAATTAATTTTCAAAATTACCAAATTATATAAACTATAATTTTTCATTTTTAATTTTTTTCTCTTCCATTCAAAAAAAAAAAATTCTCTTTACCCTATCTCATGCCGGCCGACCACCCCCCAGCCGGATTTGGTGCTCCCCCAATGGAGCACTGATCTGGTGCTCCCCAAGGGAGCCTCAATCTTGTGTTCTCCAGGGGAGCACGGCCAGATTGCGCTCCCTTGGGGAGATCCAACCAGATCCGGTATTCCACAGCTAGATCCGGCTATGGGATTGATGGGTGTAAGGCAGTGCCGCCGGCCGGCCTGAGAGAAAGGAAAATAGTAAAAAAGAGTGAAGAAAGAAGATGGGTATTTTAGACATTTCATGTTTATCCGTTAACGCTGTTTATTGGTTTGGAGAGGATTGTACATGTCGGAAACTAATTATGAGCAAAACTTAAGGGGTTAGTGTATTTTTTTTTCATTTAAGTGTAGCAGTTATTGAATCTGTTTCGCCTTCACGATCTGTTCAAGTCACTCAGCTTATAATGATAATTATAAATTAGTCTCTGCTTTCGGAGCCAGCATGGCCAAAATTTTCCCAACATGCCATCACTCCTGATAATTCTTGTATTCTTGGGAGACTCTCTAGACATATGTAAACCATGACTAGGGCAGTTGTTTTGGATCACAAACCAATCCAACACATCCTTGGGCTTCTCTGTGTTTGTCGAGGAATTAACTGTAAGCTGGACTTAGGACCTCTCTTTATGTTTCATCCAAGTAGGTTTCACAGCTTTGATCAAGTTCATCTCCAAAATCTCCCTAGCATATTGAGATTGTCGAAGGCCATCAATTGCTCTTGTATTAGGATTGAGAACGCTGATACCTTGTAAGTGAATAGTTGTTTCCAAATGCCTAAACCCATTGCAGATAAGCATCCAAAGTTGTCACTGTTCTTCAAGTTCTAGCCAATCTCTCTCTTAGGGTTGGTTATCACCCTACAAGAACTCTCTTCCTTTTTTTGACTTATAATTAGATTTTCATAGATGCAGCATTTTCCATAAAAGAATTCTCTAATCATGTATGTCCTATCATACTTATTTCTAAAGCATTTTCCAGCTATAGACTAAAAAACTCCAACTGAAAATCTGTAATGTGATATTTCCTGAGGATTTGGTCTCAACAGTTTTACCCGTTTAATGTATCTTTTATTTGTTATCTTCTAGCGTATTGCACACCCCTTTTTGCCCCTTGTTAAGGACCAAAATGGTTTAAGAACAACATTACTTTGCAGGTGAGTGCAACTACAAGTTTTAAGAACGACTTGCAACTGGTGGAAGTAATTATGGCCGTGGAAGAAGAATTCGCTGTTGAGATCCCTGACAATGATGCGCAGAAAATTGCAACTACATGTCTTCTCATGGACTTCATAGCAGCCCATCCACACGCCAAATGGGATCCCTTCCGTGGCTAGATGAAGTCCTGTTGCCAACTTTGTTCTTTCTCCTATCAAAATCCTGTACTAATTTTGCCGTGGGTAATGACAATCGAATTTGCCATGCCTCAAAAAATTGAAGTACTCTCTGTCTTTTGGAATGATAAAGATGGTTATTAATGTCAAATTTGGTTCTGCGGCTAATTATGAGGTGAACCGACTGAATAAATGTTGGTCCTTACTGTAAATGTTGTGGACAAAGCAGAAATGTGCACAGCGGCCAACCTGTCTTATGGATAAAGATCCTTTATTGTGCATCTCTAATGGAAGTATAGGCTGACAAATCCTGACCTGGGTGACCATTATCAAGTTGCCGAATGAAGTTTAATCAATATTCTGTCTTTGGATTTAAATCCTTTTTTTTTTGAATAAGATATATTCATTTACCATTGAGTTAAATGTAGTTTAGTAAAATAAATATTGAACTAAATCCGTAAGTCTAAATACTTGAAAGCCTAGTTGTAGGCTGTGTGAAGAGAGGGAAGAAATGGAGGGGTGCTTTAAATGCTGGTGGTCATGAGTCTCTAAGATTAGAATAATCAAACCCTAGAGCTCACGTGTAGAGCTAGAGATGAGTAGCCAAGCAGGGATTGGAATTATGTGAGATAATTAAATATGGCCTCAGGAAAGTACAAGTTTCAAAGGCTGTCCATGCCTTCATAGAGCCCGTCAAAAGACTTCATGGGAACCAACCATACTAGTAGTTGTAGTTATGTATCCACAGTATCACCAATTCATACAAATTGGAGACCAGCTGCCTAAAAGCCAAATAGCAGCAACAAGTCATGAATGAAACAAGCCCCGTGCCTTCACATATATCTGTTTCTCCATCCTCTTTAACCCAATATTATATGTAGCATAGTTTAATAGAATGGTAAACTTGAGATTGATTTCTTTAATTTTTATGTGTTTGACGGCGAATTTGACAAGTGTAGAGAGGATGAAGCTATAATGATGGGCGTAGAAGAAGAATTCATCCAAAAGGAGATTTGCTTTGTTGATAGGTGAAGTCTTGTCTTGCATCAAAACTTTAATAAAACATATTCTCTTTACATGATTTTATATGTAATGAAATACTTTACTTTATGTTTGATTAAAAGAATAAAAATGTTACCAAACTTTGGTCTTTGGCCTATCCAAATTGTGGGATTCATCAGTAGCTTGCAATAATTTTGCCGAGGGTAATCAACAACGTATTTTTACCATTGCCTCCTAAAATTTAAGCACTAATCTTTTGGATTCATAACGATGTTTTATTAAAGTCAAATTTCATTGCTTTTCTTGTTTCTTTACCTATCATGTCTATTTCCAGATTTTCCTCATTTCTCTTGGTTAGTTCATTTCTGCTCCTTCTCTGCATCTTCCGTGTATCTTATACATATAAAAAATAAAGTACAACAATGTAGGCTGGTCCCACAAATGCTATGGATAAATTAAGAAGCGTTATTGAAGATTGGGTTATGCCAGTTGATATTAATGCTTAGATGAAATCATCCATTTTAACATGAAGGGGTGTGCAAAAAGAGCAAAATTAACCGACTTTTGTACAGGTTAAAGCAGCAATTGGTTTGGGATTGGTCAATTGGACCAACCCTCTTTAATCCTCACTCCCAACACTATTCCGAGTAATGAAAAGGAAATGTTAAATAAAAGATTGAAAAAGAAAATTTGCAAAGGTTGAGCAATTGAAATGGATTTTGTGGGGATCCACCAAACTTGAGGAAGGGGAAAGCAGCAGAGCGGAAAACAGTACCAAAAAAGAAAAATGGCTTTTCCCTTTGCTTTTAAGATGCGAGGAATGAATGACTTTAATGGATTAGTTTAATGAAGATGCGACTCCTGATTCTGAAATGCCCACTCCTACACCTGTGTGAAGGAGAACAAGTTTTGGCTCCCACATTGGGTTGAAAATGGGTGCTTCTTAACACCAAGTGGTCCCCTAAAATCAATCACCCACTCTAAAGTTTAAATTATATGAATGAATGTATAACCCCTATGCTCACGTGTAGGGTTGGATGCACTTGCTAACCATGATAATAATTTTCATCATTAGCCATGCAGGGGGTTGGAATTATGTGAAATCATTAACTATGACCTCAGAAAAGTAGAACATTTTCAAGGACTTGCTATGTTGATGAGGTCATGCCCCATGGGTCTTGCTTAAACTAAACCATTAACTTACAAAAAAAACAGTCCTTCTTCACCTTGGCTCATTTAACTCATAACAATCGCAATTTCTAGATATGTTGTAGATTTTGATTCTTTAATATTCTTATCATGAAATATATTAAATTTTTATATTTATGAATTTTGACAAAATGGTATCCAATATTATAAAAACGGCAAGGGAAAAGAAAATCGTGCATGATGAAAAGGGAAACGAGCCATGATAAAAGATTTGTAGCTTTCACGTGTGTAGGTAAGCATTCAACACTGTCCAAACTGTAGAGTTGCAAAAACTATAGTTAGCTTAGCCTCCCCGACGGGTGAAGTAATCATCTCTCTCTCTTTCCTTTTGTGTTTTTGGGGTAAATCCAGTTGGGGGTGGAGGGAGGGGTCTCAATTGTAGATATACAGGCAATGTAGATGATGATGATGGAGAAGAGTACTCATGAAAGCCCGTTATTGTCTCTCTTTTGAGTCCTGGCCATGCAAATCTCTTAAGCACTGCCATACACATTTATGAAAACAACTCCTAACCTCCCTTTTTAAATCATGATCCCAAATCTCTTTTTATTTAGGGGGTGGGCAGCATTCCAAATTGCTGCAAAAAGTAAAATTTATTTAAGAAGGGGGAGAAGGGTTTTAAAGGATTACAAAGGGGGAAGAGACAATTATTATTGGGGGTTTGCCATCATTGGCTGTTTCAGAAGCAGACTTAAAAACTCTAGCTACACTCACACACTTTAGCCAATTTACTCTGTCTTGAACCTTTGGGCAGACCTCTTTTGTCCCCCTATGCTTATTGGTTGACTACATCATATGGTCTGAATAACAGAGTTGGCTTTCAAACCACCACATGTTGCACCACTTAAACTTGGTAGCTGCGTATGTAACCTACGTTTAATGTAGCATTAAAGCTAAAAGTGTATGTACTGGTCTAGCCTGTTGATGACAATTAACTAATTTAAGGCATAACATAAACATATACGTCCTTCTTAATTTTGCTTTTTGTTCCAACTATTTGGGTTTTAAGTTTCGTTCAATACTAATTCAATGGCAGACAAGTTAACTTGGATTAATGTTAACTAAAGATATTTATTAAGATTTATTGTAGGAAATTGAATTATATTAATCTTCTTTGCATGAAAAATCATAAATTTGACAATTTTGCAATCCATTTAATTTTTATGACATTAGAAAAGCCCTTCATGCATGGTCCACTTGAGCTAGTTGTAGCAGAGTTTAGCTTCGGAACAGGAATTTGAGATATGGCACTTGGAATTATTACCAGCCATGAGATGTAAAATTTTAAATTCAGAGCCCACATGAAGTTGGAAGTTAATTTTGGACACACAGTACTTTCAGCATAGTCTGCCAAGAAAGATTTTTGGCACGGATTGACCCCCAAAATAATTCATTCCACTCCATTGTCGATGAACATGTAACAAAATGAGACAAACCACTAAAATCTCAAAAAGATTCACTTGCTTTTTTTTCATTAAAATAATGAATGAAATAAAACGTATTTGTATTAAATCAAATTTTCAAACGAAAATCTCTTCATATTTGGTGACTTATATATTACATTACTTGATAAGAAATAGTGTTATATATGACTGAAACTTATTAACTTGGCAGAGTTTGCAGTCTCTTTGCTTGGTTACTCATGGGTTGAGGATATGTTACCAAGACAAGTGAAATTGAAAGCCAGTCGAGCTAGTCATCTTCAGGGGCAACGATCATAATACAAATGCACTAAAGGTTGCATTAAGAAAGATGTATACAGAAAATAACACAAACACAGAGAGAGAAAAGAAAGCAAGAAAGAGTTAAAAGAGCGCATGCACATGGCAATTTTACCAAAGAAGAAATTAGGCCTAATTAACCACGTGCCATCCACAGTGTATATATATATATATAAGAAAATCAATTTGTTTTAATCTTTGTTTATTGTAGAGGATGGACCATTGGCTATTGGCCATGCAGACAAAGCTAGGCTGCAGGTTCCTCCTTTGTCCCGTTCAAAGAAACACTGCCAAATGTTGTTCCGATCGAGCAATGTGTCTGTCAAGCTCAACCTTTTTGCACTCTGGAAACCTCAGACTCAAAGCTAAGAGCAAATTTCCCTAATTCTTTTTCTTTACTCCATTAGTCTCCTTTCACTTTCTATCTGTTTTCCTACTAATATTTTCCTTTTCTAAGCATTGCATGAGTCAGCATATAAAGGAAGTAAGTCACTTCTTTCTAACTCTCCTTGTTTTTGTTTTTGTTTTTTTGACAAAAAATTTCCATAGAGAGATAATGGAACAGAGTAGCAGGCAGGGGCACATAACAAACCTTTCCTAATTGTACATGTCTGCGTATATTATAAACACAATACCAGTCTATTACCCCTACATGATGCAATTTAAACTAAATCATCCTCCATAATTATGTGAAAAAGTCACAAGAAAATGAGGTAAAAAGAAATTATACAAACATCTAAACTATTTTTTGGTATTTGTTCTCGCTATTTGGTGCATATATGATATAAGTTTTAGGGCGATAATTACTGATTCATGCTTGTTTGCATTTCTCTTTTCTTCTACACTCAAAAACTTAGAGAATAGATAAGTTTTTCGATTTTTCATATTGTAGCAATCTGTATTGTACTTCATAAAGACTAATTTAAAATTAACTTCAATGGAAAATTATGTATATATATTATTCAAAAATTAAATGAAGAATATTTATTAAAAAATTGATCAATTCAATCAATTTTTAATTATCTCCCCGTTGAAAAGATCATGGAGAGGAAATTTTTTCATGCAAGAAAGCAATTTAGTAGTGTAAATCTAGTTTCTTCCCCTTTTCCTACAAATCAAACAGTTAAATCAATTAAAACAGTAATTATTAAAATTATAATTATCATTATTACGTGTTATTATTAAGCGCAAACTAAGATTCCATCAGTTGTGAAACGTCGTCCAAGTAAAGATTTCCAACTTTATCAAGGATGGAAAACAGCCGTTAAGGGTAAAGGTGTAATTAAAGCAGCAATCAGCCCATGGAATAGAAAGCCACAATAATTACAATTGAGGCAAGCAAAGCTCAAATTGAGCCTCAAAACGAACGAGCTCCACGAGGGTTGAAGGAAATGAATTGACGGTTTTACCCATAGACCCATCCAAAAACGCTATCTGTCAACCATGATGTTTCACGTTAAGGCACTCATAACCCATGAGGGGTTGAGGCTGGCCCAACCCCTTCTTTCCCTTCCTTTTTTTTTTTTTTTTTCTTCATTCATTATTTCAAAGCTCACCTTAAATATGGGCATAAAAATATGCTTAACTTATGATTAGAATAACGTAAAACAAAACATCATCAATTGTGTAAAACAGTGCAAAGCTGTAGGGGTAATTCCGTCACTTGGTTCCACAGGAAAGCCCATTGGTTTGGCCAACCAAAATCCCCCATTTTAGTATATGGTGGGAAAAGAAAACACACAAGATATAAAAAAGAAACATATAAATTTTCTTTTTTTCCTAAGTTTAGAAAATGATGAAATCTTTTAAATTCAAGGTTACTAATGCTTTATTTAATTATAGTTGACAAGGGTATGTAAATGATTACATATTGTGATTCTAAATAGCGAGAAATGGAAAATATTGGTAACCTTGAAATTGAAAAGTTAGTGATGAGTATATTTATATGAGATTTGGGTTCTAAATCTGCCCCTATAGGTAGACATAATATTGGAAGTGACCCTATTTTGTAGATATAATTGTTGACAACAGTGACATGCGTAGAGAATAGAAGACTTTAGGCAGTGGGATGCACAAAACCCGCTATTTTCAACCAAAGAAATAAAGATTACGGCCAAAAATGATTGTCACTAACAGTTACCAAACCAAGGAGTGAAATTAGGAAAGAAATGATAAAAACAAAAAAACAAGGGATCAAAAATAAATATGTGAAACGGAAAGTAAAACAAAAGAGAACCGAAGAAGAAGAAGAAGAAGGGAAAGGAAGGAAGAGAAGAAGAGGCAAGGGGAAGGCGGAAGGGGAAAGGGGTGTGGGGTGGTGATGATGGTTCGAACCAATCCAAACCATCATTGCGAATCTTGGGACGGCCTAGCCCACCATCATTTAGAAGCCCCCTAGCCGGAAAACCCATAATTGTCCCTCTAAATCATCAACCATAATGCCGATTTCTTGACGAAAATACCCTTTCACTCTTCGCCAAACCAAATAAGTTTCCCCTCCCCATCATCATTCACATGACGCCATATCCCTTCCTCAACCATCATCATACAAAAACCAAAACATTAAATCCTCGCCCCTAACGGCCGCCTTCTTGCTTACACATGCATGATTGTTGTGTCAGACGAGAGAGTCATGTCCCCTTCCCACACCATAAGCTTTTCTCTCTTTTTCTTTCTTTCTTTTTTTTTTTTGGGGGGGGTTGGGGGGTGGGGTGTGGGGGGTGTGGGTGGCTCTTCTTTCTGGTCTGTCTCTCTCCCTATAACCTTTTTGCTCTATATATTAACATCCCCTTCATTCACTTTGTCCCTCACTTCACTCTTTCTTTTTTACTGCTGCTACTAGTTGTTAGAAACCAGATTTTTAGCTTCCTCGGCCAAAGCTCTCTAACCAACCTCCTTGAAAAGGTGATCTTTTTTGAAAAGATAAAGAGGTAGAGGCCCCCACCTCTCCTCTCTCCTCTCGACTTGTTCTCTTCTTCAGTTGCTACTATTTTCTTTCTATCACCAAGAAAGGATAGACATAGTCCATGTTAATGGGCACTAGTGTAAGTTTGTTTTGTAAGGGGGCTGAATGGTGTTCTGTTTCTAACCAAACATCCTGCATATGATGTTTCTCTAACCGTTGGATTCTGTTATCTTGTATGAGAATTGGGAAGTCAGTTCCCAATGTTGGAATTTTCTTCCTATTTCACCTCATTTTGAGGGATGTCTTATATCAGTAGTTTGTGAAGGATTCTCTCCTTGGATTCTAAAACATTGGTTTTATCCCCTCAAATGCTTCTTTTGTGGGGTTCTTTGTCTTTCTCCAGGTCTGAACTTGTTTTTCTTTTGTTCCTTCTTTTTCTGTTTGTTAACTACTTTCGGTCCCTTCTTTAATAGCAAGAGGAAGCATTCTTCTAGTTGAATGCAGGGCTAAAAACTATTTCTATATGTCTATAGACATAACATAAGCAAATGTAGTCACAAGCAAGTTCCATCTGCAGTCGATCTTCCAATGACCTTTATCCCTTTCTTTCATGTATGGGCAGCCGAAAGGGTCTTTGGACAGCTGTTACTCCGCTTCTCAACCTTACCCCCTGTCTTTACGTACAAACTATTTGGTCTATTTAAATGCTAGGGCGCTCCAATAAAAAAAACATTGCTCCTACAATTGTCTTTTGGCATCCACCAGCTCTGTTTCTCCTCTGTTGTTAGTTCTTACTGTTTTCTTGCGGTACTAATAAGATAGGCACTATTATCTACCCAAGCAGGAAATTAGAGAGAAACTGTCCTAGAAATTGTTTACTATTTTTTTCCAGGTTACAACTTGGTTCTCAACTTTTACTTACTAATTTGGTGGCTTTCTCTCCTCGTTTATCTGTATTCTTGGTAATATTTTTCTCAAAAAAAGTTTTAACCTAGTGTTTTTTCAACTTTTACAAATTCATGTACAAACATTTGGATTTTCATTATCTTTAACATAACACGTGTCAAAGTATGTATTTACATAGTTATTAGTGTTTTCACTCATTGCATAATGTTGAATTTCATGCATACATACACGTTATTTGAGTCTATTAATGTAGTATATATCTAATGTAATTTTTTGTTTTTTAACAATGTTGTGGTTCTTTTTATATATCTGAGGCTTTTTCTAGATTTTTAGATTAAGATAAGGGTGATATAATGGATAGTGATAATATTTTAAACTAGTGATTTAAAAATAGTATAACAATACTGTCTCCATGTGTAGTGCAATGATTTCTGTAGTAATAAAGAATATTATCAGAGATACTCTTTCTCCCTGATACCATTTTTTCTGCTCATTTTGGTTTCAGGGGCATTACAGGGAGTTTGAAAAAGTTTTGTTTCATAGTCATGGAAAGGCTGAACTCAAACCTGTACCTGCAGAACTGTTACATAATGAAAGAGAATGAGAGGCTGAGGAAGAAAGCACAGCTTCTCAACCAGGAGAATCAGGCCCTGCTATCTGAGCTGAAACAGAAACTCTCCAAGGGCAACTCAAAGGGAAATTCAGCAAATACTATTCCTGACCTCAACCTCAGCTCCAGTTCTAACCCAAATCCTTCCAATTCTAGCAAACCCTGATCCAGCAGGATAGACATCATGACCCCACATAGACTCCCCTTGCCTTTTTTGTGTAAAACCATAGCCAAACAGTAGCAGTAGCTCCGTTTCAGTTAATAGGATAGTACTAGTATCTTTCTATCAGGCTTATTTCTATTTTCATCTTCTTATATCTTCTGCTGTGGGGGTGTTAAGATATGATTTGCGAACAACAAAAGATGTATCAGGCTATCTGCTAGAAAGGAATATAATATATTATCATAGTTCTAGTTTCTACTCGCTCTAAATTGGATCATGGCTCCATTAGTGTAGGTGGATTACTAAATTGGACAAACAAACTCTTATGTTCCAGAATCGCCATATAAACGTGGCAAAACTATAAATATCTCTCAGCACAACTCGTTTCATTAAACTATCACTGAACTCTACTCTCTAGACCAGATTTTGCCTTGCTATTACATGCAAGATGCATATGGTTGAAAGTGCAGGCAGTCCAAATAGAGTACCAGAGCGACTAAAATTACTAGACATCATAACTCCGAACCAAAATACTTCATCCTAAACAAGAGTACTTAACGCACAATTAGGGTTCACGTGTCTACTAAGGACGTTCGGTTTACCCAAAAAGAAGATAGTAAATAGCCCTGCTTGCTTTCTTGTTGTGAAATTAACTTGTACTGCATAAAAAAGAGCAGGGTGAAAAAAGTAACGACTTTTGAGCTCCTGAAGCAGGGTAAAAGAGCTAAATGGCACAGCTTTGGGAATAACCAACACTTGAAATAAAATAAAACCATCTAAAATATTACACATGAACAAGCAGTAAAAGAAAAATGCAGGTCCCTCCTGCTACAACATTGTTCTAAGAAGCCAAGATTATATAGATTTTCTTCCAAGTAAGAAATTCAGAAGAAAATATCATCAGATTGGAAAGGGGGCTTTTCATTCAGATTCTGTTTGGGAAGAGAGTGATGGGAGGATCTAATCAAAGGTAACGTCAACAAATTAAAGATTCAGAAGGAGAAAGTCAATGAAGGTTTATTAAGCTAGAACAAGTGGTAACCCACAATATCAACTCATGGACATGACATAGTCCCTTGGCTGATGCTGGTTGACCATCAAGCAAACTCCTTCCGGGTAACAAAAAAAAAGTCTTATCAAGACTCAAATGTGTCTACACGTCCCTCCTCTGGCCTTGCCCTTCATAACCTCTGAGGCCACCAAACCCTGTCAGCACCGTAGCTAGTCAATTTGGAAACTAAAAGGAGGACAGAAGTATGATGACTCGAATCTCCTTAGAAGACCCAGACCTGGATTGGCTGACGACGGTCACTCAGTGCTCAATAACCCAAAGAACGACAAGCAAAACATGTATTCAAGTAAGCCCTCTCTCCATCTTTGGCAAGTCACCAAATCTTGGAAGATGAGTAGATGACCCATTTGTCCTCGGATTTGTTTGCTATCCTGGGGGCTGATTTTATATGTCTCCTAGTCTAGCATTTCCATTGCCACTCGTGACTCATTTCAATTAAAACAAAACGACAATATTTTCCCGTGCTGGTTCTGAAATCAGAATGTAAAATAATAGTTCAACCCTTTGTCCCTCTTGGAATGGATCATGGACCTCAGTCTTTGCAAAAAGGATAAAAGGTTCTAGTGGACGAAAAATTAATAAGTCTAACTTAAATAGAAAATCAGAAAAAAAATAAAATTATAGTTAATCACAACACTATAAGGTAGCGTTTAATAGGGATGAAGTGTGAGTGCATTCTTTGTAATGTGTCCAATTAAATTATATTACAGTATTTATTTTACAATAGATCATTACAATGTAAGATTGCAATGCAATCACATTATAATTAAGAAATGTAATGTAATTGTAGTCTAAAACTAATGTAATCACGTTACCTTACATTCTGTAATGTTCTTAAAGACATTTTTATCTTTTAACTTTATTATCTTATCAAATATATTTTATAATGTTATAATTAAAATAAAAATATTAAAATAAAATATATAATATAAGAATCAAAAATTAAAATAAAATAAAATATAAGAAATTAAAATTTATACAATATAGGTAAAATAAATTAAAATATAATATATAATATAAAAAATTATAGTCAAGAAATAAAATAAAATATATAAGATTATAAAAATAAATGAAAATAAAATATATGACATTACAAATATATTTAAGAGATAATATTATATAAAAATTAACAATAAAAAATATAAGTATATTGAAGTTACATTTTAATAAATAAGGGTAATTTTGAAAATTAACATTACATTCCCCGCAAAGTATTTATAAACTAAACGCTGTAATATTATATTTCTTACATTTTAATTATTATTTTATATGTATACCAAACACTGTAATGTTATTTTCACTACAATTACATTAATTACAATTACATTACTTGCAATCACATTGCATTGTAAAATACCAAACACCACCTAAAGCTCATGGCTTAAATCTTGATTCTTATTTGATCAAATTTTAGTTTTAAAACGTCAAACTCACCTCAAAAAAGTAATTAAGTTATTCATTGAGCTAAAGATTAAGCCCCTTTCTAAATTATACATATATTTTCCACAAGCACTCATAAATAAAACCATGGCATGAAAAGGTCCATCGAGCCATGAGCCTAAATCATTGGGGAAATGAAGATCTAATAGATGTAGGGCCTGTTAATTACGAACTGAAACAATCATGGGCTATGGGAAAAACCAAAAAGTGGATCATCTTGTGAAAGCCAAAGCCCATTGAACAATTAGGCGAGAGCAGAAAATTAGTTCAGCAATATGTTCCAAAGGATTGTCTTAAAACTTGCAATAAAAAAAACATAATATTATATATATATATATATATATACACACACACATATAATGCAGTATATAAGAGAAGAAGCTAACGTAACATGATACCTAACTTGAGCAAGAAAGTGAATTGTTGCGATTTTCCTTCTAAATGGAAATCCGTTTGTCAAAAAAAAAAAGCAAAAAAAAGAAACAATGCATTCATTCCATCTCAAATTTGAAATATAAATTCCTTCATGCCCAAACATGAAAATAATTAAGAAATAAAAGTATAACGTAGCAAAAAAATAAAATAAGTATTTAATAAAAAAATAGTTAAATCTCATAAGATCAATATTTGTGTTTTTCATGTAATTTTCAAATTAATTATGAACATCTATAAGTTTAAGTATTACATACCTTACTCTAGATATTATAATTAAAAATCAATTAAATCCAAAAGGTTTATGAAGAAGACAATTTGAAATCCTATATTCGAAATATTTGCCTTTTTACCTTTAAGATTTGTCAAATCTTCAACCATCCAAGTATTTAGCATCTAACAGTAATTCACACATTTACCGAATAAGACCTTCTCAAAAATAGAATTTTTGCTTTTACTAATAAGTTTTGTTTCAAAAACAAAAAGACTAAAAGTTCTTATCGAATCTTATTTCTATCAGAGCAAGAAAATTATTTTTCGTTTTTCTCATTTTTATGAAATGGCTAAGTAGTGGCTGAAAGTTTAGAGTTTTAGTTGACTAACATAATATATTTATATAACCAAACTAAGTTGTAACTCAAGATACAATAGTTGTGTTTTTATTCAATTAAGTCATTGTGAATTTAATTAATTTTTCACTTTATTTCGAGTCTATTTCAATTAAATCTGACTTAATTGATTATCTATATTTAATTTCAATTATGTTACGTATTATGTGTGACCTATTAAGCTTCTAACATGTTGGCAATAAATATAAATCCTAATCAAATATCAATTTGATAATTGATTTATTTTTATAGATCATGAGTAGCATCTAACAATATATCATGACCACCAAAATGTTAGAAAGTCAATTAAAGAATTTGACAAAACCCTTCAATGATAAGCCTCTCAGTGTAATACGACTTTTCATCAAATATCTCAGATATGTCATAAAGCATGATTCGGTTTCTACTTATGATATTTCATATTAGTTCTCATAATTCATGACTAACTTTATGAATTTTAAGAACTAACTTTTCTCAAATTCATCATGCTTTAATCAAAGACTTTATACAAGTTGATCAAGAATGAGAACAAGTAAGATATATCTCCTTTTTTTTCCATTTATTTTTTTTCAACTTTTGGGGTGATAAATCATCTCTTGACCACTCATTTATCTTTGCATGCTTCATAGCATACCCAAAAACATCTTGTTTAGGCATGTGGTTACTTTCAGACTTGTAGAGGTGAAATCAAAATATGTCATTCCCCATATAAGATGGCGTGGTGTCTTAAGTCCGAAGACTAGTTACATGACTAGCACATGAAAATATATTCCATAAACAGTTGAGTAAAATACCAAATGGAGTTGAACCTATGAGATTAAATATGCATTAAATGACAATATACATATTCCTTAACTAATCTAATTGGCTTAAGGACATATACCAATAGGAAGGCGGATTTGAACCTTACTCTCTAGATAGGGGATCATACACCAACTAATGAACCAAATGCTCGAGTGTAATACAAACTTAATTGATTAGTTGTAAGTCAGATTTTCATTACACATCTATTTTAAAACTTGTTTTCTTTGTGAAACTTAACATCTGACTATATGCACATACATACATACATATGTATGTATGTATGTGCAGTGTATGCTTTTGTCTTATTCTTACATGTGCATTTCACTTTTATTCTCAAGTACACCATATTTACAAAAGCTCCATCAGTTTCAGAGTTCAAATAAGTTAAATAGTAGGCTGAGTTTCATGGCTTACACTTGTTATTATCCTTTGGAGGGGATGGGCCTTAAGGGTTCGTGCGGTTTATATAAAAATGGTGGGTTTGAGTATTGACCTAAAATGAGAACAATTTATACATTGCTTTGGAATTAAGTGAACTTTAAGATGCCATAACATGCAATGCCAAATACCAAATGAATGAAAACGCCTTAAGATTATCGAAGCCAATTTGATTTGCACAAAATTTGCAAAAAGGTTAGTTAGAAACCTCTATTTGGTTGCTGAGGAAAGAGAAAGAAAAAAAAAACAATGCATTCATTCCATTTCAAATTTGAAAAAGAAATTCATTCTGCGCTCTCTCTTATTTCTAAAACCTAAGCTACAAAAGGGAGGGAATTTACCGTTACTAGGGATCAAATCCAAGTCACTCGCGTGATAAGGGGAATACTTACCACTATATTACAATGATTTTGTTGAATAATTTCTCTAAGCTTTTTATTTAGAAATCAAATG